CCTAGAGACGAATTTGGCCGTGTTAAGGGAGGCATCAGCCAAATACTGCAATCATTTTTGTTATGTCCTGGCGAAGACGAGTGTCTCCTGCCGGTAGTTTAGCCAAATGAAGAGGCTCTGTTAAAGAAGGACGTGGATGATGAAGCCTTAATGGCCCAGGCCGCTGCCTGATGAATCTTGTGGCAGGCCTTCTCTGCTTTTTTGTCCTCTGCCTTGAGGCCTTCCAACAAGTCAGTCAGAAGGACTGAATTAGAAGTGAGAGCCGCTATAGGGGGGTCTACAGATGGCAGGAACAGGATGTCTTCCAGCGCAGGGTCAACTGAGTACAGCTTCTTGTCCCCACCATTGGGCATGGCCAGGGAGCCAGGCTGGGCCCATTGCAGGTTCGGTACCCACTTGGGTGGTGTTCTTAGCCTTGTGAAAGATGGATTTAAATAGGCTAGGCTTAAAGAGCTCCGAGAAGGCAGGAGCATCCGGAGGAAGGTCCTCTTCCTCCGAGAGCTCCTGCTCCTCCTGACCCGGGTCCTCCAAAATGGAAGTCTCACTTAGTGCTGAGGACTCCAGAGATGGGTGATGGACCCGCCTGGTGGTGGAGGAAGCCTCCTGCCTGGGTTGAGAGGAACTGGGAGCGATAGGTACTTGGTCACGGCTCTGCATCCCTTGGGCAATGCCCTGAGACATGGCATGGGAGACCACCACCTGAATGTGGGCAGATAACTCAGGTTCCTGAGCTATGGCAGAGTCCGAACCAACGGAATCCCTGGAAGGATGAGGAACATGCCGGGCAAGGATGGGATGAGCGAGCCCCCTGGGGTTAGGGTCCTCGGGGGTGGGCCCTGACTCAGAAACACACGAAAAAGCAGGTTCAGCCAGAGAGGTCCTGGGAGTCCATTTCCTCATCAATTATGGACAGGCGATCCCCCCCTTGGGAGTGGTGGAATGACTGTCCCAACAGGAGGGGTAGGCTGAGGGCACTCCCTCACAGCCTGGCATTGGGTTTTCTCGAATTGTTTGTTGAGAGCCCACTGCCGCCTCGCTGCATCCCTAGTCGCCACTGTAGAAGATTTATAGGGATGGCTATCCTGACTGGCCACCCTGCCCTTCCTTACCCCCGCTTGCAGAAGTTCCCTTGCTAGGGGCTTGAGAGGGACCTGGTCTACCATCAGGGAAGTCAGATGGGCCAGGATGCTCCATGGCCTGATGGCACAGATTTCAGACAATAGGCCAATACAGGTGGAGGTCAGGAGATGAAGGAGACTGGTGGCTGGTGCTGGATCAGAAGACACACAGATATTGTGGAAGCAGGAACATTTTGTGGAAAAAAAATCCAGGGGAATAAAACAGGGGCTCTGCAATGAGCCCAATGAATTCAGCCACTCAACGGGAGGTGAGAAGGTGGAAAAGCAGCCGAAGCTGCAAGACCAAGCAGATAGATCAGGGAGAATCAGTGGATAAAAGGCAAAAAAATGTACATAAAAATC